AATCGGTAAAACACCATGACCAATGTCCGATTTGAAAACAAAAATGTTTTGAAGAAATGCTGATTCCAATGTTGAAAATAACACTTTTTATGAAAGTACTAATGATAAAAACATCAATGAAATAAAATAAATCATAGCAGGCTTCACGTAAGGCCAAGAAAACTTGAGATTTATTTGTTAATTCTTTTTTTCTCTGTTCCTTTAACTTTTCTATTTTACTTGATAAAAAGAATAATGTCAAGTTATCTTATATTCTCTTATAAAAGTTTAGACGTGCTACCTAATGATAAGCAAAATAATCAACTCGAAATTCAGAATAAAGTGGTTTCCAATATGTTGAGAATTTATATCAACATGAAACAAAGCACGCATATCACATCCCTACGTGATTACACCGTGACAAGTGGTCTTCCAATCAAAATATGCCTTTTCGTAGAGTGCAATAACCAACATTCGGCAAGCGATGTCAACGCATCATGTCGCTTGTGCGTGCCATTTTCTTCACTGCAGCTAATGGCAACTTCCACATCATGATTGCACATATTCGTGGTACAATGATCCCCCTACTTTTCTCGCATATCAGTCTCTTGTGTCATTTTTAGTGCGTTAATGCAAAATTATGGCACGCTGTAACTTATAGCATTATGGTGACAGATGTATAATTATATAATGTACCGGTAATACACATAATGCAAATATTCTTATTATCAGTATAATACCAGTATATTAAGTTGAGCATGTGAGGGCAATATATAGACCAGTAGTTCAATGTGCTTCTCATAGTTTCTCATAGGGTTTAGTTTTCATTAGTGTTCACTTTACTCTGTTTATCATACAACCATAATTAAATGAATGTTATATACTATTTGTATAATATTGTGTTTCTAGCTTTACGCTAAACCCTGCTGATTTATGGTCATGTAGAGCAGATACAAGACTTTATAAGTTCTTGGGAATCATATGCAGCATTTCAACTGTTACTCAGTACACGTAAGTCACATTATTTTACATCTATATAGCAATGACAAAAATGAAATTTAGCTGTCTGTATAACCCTGTACAGATGTGTTTTAAAGTTTTATGAATTGTGTTTAAAGAATGTGTGATTATCATCACATTCAAAGACTTCCATTCATTTCATATTAAATGCAGCAATGATGTAACATGTGATGCAAATAGAATAATGCCATTGAAGGATTGCACAGATATTGAAAATTCTTTTTTCTGGCATTTCAGGCTGTTAGATAGAGATAGAAAAAATATAATAATAAATTTATCACAAGAATATTTTATCGATTGATATGACCACCATTTCTGCATTCATGTATAGTACATGTCAAAATATAAAATGAATTTCCTGATATTTGATGAATACGAAAATAGAAATAACCTCATACTATATCAATATGTAAATTAATTCATCACATGTCCTAGAATACATAAATAAATGACTGATACACATATTATGATGATCCCTTTGGGTGAAGGTATAGTCATCATGATCTTCTGGAAATCTTGGTATCTTTATGTTACTATTTATTTACCCTATAAAATTCTTTGATAAGTGATGTCAATTGATGACAAAAGTGCAATAAAAGTAACTGATTATTTATTTTTGCTCAATCCATAGACAAGCAGCTAGGTATTATTGCACAGTAACAACCTGTGATGGATATACAGGCCAGCATTTTATCAGAATGCATACACCTGGTGCATCAGAGTTCCAGACTATTAGGTATATAGTACTTCCTTTCTACTTTCTAAAATGGACACTTTTCAAATTATATTTCTATGTTTTGGTACCTGTTATAATAGAACATGTTGTTCTTCATACTCCCTTGGAAACTTACTTAACTTCTGTTTTTCATTTTGATATTAGGAATGATTTTGTTTGTATATTTTGTGGGTCAACACTGGTAGAAGATGCGTCTTGTAGATTACTTTCAGGTGTGTATATGTTCACCAGGAACTAATATAGGAACTTATTTGCAAAATATCACTCCAAACATTGAATGAATTATACAACTGCTACTCATTTTAATATTCATTTATTTTATTGAATATTCAGACAAAATTATTGTACAGATGTTAAGCTATGATGCTTTGAATTCAAATGGTTGTCGCCATCAAGCCATATCTGTTTTCTTAAGAGGTATGTGTAAAACTACTTCATGGTGAATTCATTGCAATTCAGATCAGTTGCCATATCTCATGGAGTAGATTCAGGCATATGTACTTTCACTTATGCAGTAGTCATTTTTGTCAGAAAGTACCAACAAATTTTGAATGGCATGATAAATATTTCAGTGTTGGGCTGTATCAAAACATGGATCATCAGAATGATATGTGAAATGCGCTCCCTATCAAGATACTAAAAAACTTTTATGCTGATAGGGGCTAATGTCAACTGATAGAACATGGTTTGATTTGAGATTTAACAAGTATAGCCCCCTGAACACCTCCATGAATAGCAAAAATTAATGGGGAAAAATGGCATCAACAGGCGATATGTTAACAAATCTTGAAAGTAGTTGACCCATTTCTCATATTACTGGGCCTCCCAGCAATCTCAAATTGTTGTTTTAGTGCACAGCATTGACATTTTTATACTTCTTTAGCAATATCATAATAACAAACTATAGTAAAGTACATAAAATGCATCTTGAACCACTATAACCAGGTAGTGCTATATTTCCCATACATCAGGTTTTCTCAGCGAAAAGTTTGTTTGTCGTATCATTGGCCTGTATGTACTACCATTATGTTGAATAAAAACTGTAGCTTCTCAACAAAGCAAGTCAGGGATAAGATTTATAAAATATGACAACTAATACGATAGCTGTTTAAGATAATTCTAATCATGCTTATTCTTTAGGTGATTTAACAAGTGATATTATGATTGGCAAAAGCTACAGAGTCATAGGCATCCCAACATATCAGCATAATGAATCCAAAATTTCTGTTGCAATAGAGGTAAGATGAGTCACACATTGTAAGTCCAGGTTGTTCACACTCAATGGTGATAAACAGTTTGTTTGTAATTTTTTTTATACACATGTATAGAAATTTTAAAGAATTTTGTAAACTTTCATAAGAAGTTTTCTAAGAAGTAATTTTCTAGTAAATTTTTGTTGAAATCCATATAATTTTAATGAAAATTCTATAGACCATTTTGTGTATAGGCAGCATATACTGTAATGTTGCATAGGTTAAATTGAGATAAATATCAGCAAATAATCAACCTTTAATATTTTAATTATACCTGTCTTCTACACTGTCCAAATGTTATTACTAGTATTACAAATAATATATTAAAAGAAATATATAACATTTAGAAACAGAGAATTCAGAGAAGACTTTTAAAACAAGCAGCCTATCGGCTGAGATAGCTCCACTGTTAGCAATGCACATTTCAATTAAAGAACTGAAGACATCATTAGAAAATGAACAATATGTATAGTATCAAAGCAATCGGACTTACAGTTTTTAACAAGAAGTCG